TTTAGGAAGATGCGCAGCAGGATACGGCCCACGCGAACCTTTTACAGCCGGAGCTCTAAATCGCGTTTGACGGTTAGCCTAAGCTACGAAGTGTGGGTGCGCTTATGTGCGTGCGTGTCTGCGCTCGTGTGTCTGTCCATTCCTACGTCGTTTACGAGGTGCACAACTCGTGCGACAAGGAATACAGTGAAAGTAGTGAGGCGGCTTATCTTCAAAACGCCCCACAGAAGAAATGAAAAGAAACTTTACAAGCCAAAGCTGTCGCTCCACGATCCCCCAAAAATAAACGAGCTACTTACAAGCAATTCGTTGCAACGTTAACCTCAGTAGCACTTAAACCTCATCGGAGAAACCGTACTGTGCTTTTGTTGTTTGAGCAGTATACCTATGGTTGTGCGGGTTGCGGTCACTATAATGTTTCCGCAGGATGCTTCCTAGACAGAACACTGGGGCTTGTGTCGTTCATGTACATCACGGGAATCTAGGGTAGCATTTGTCCCATATTTGTGCTTGTTGTTTGAGTTGTTATTGTGGCGTTAATTCATTAATTTCTACCGATATACCAGAAGAAATGTTAAGGCATTTTGTTATTATAACAAATGCATGCTGATCAGGACGTATTGAGAGACTAGTTGGCTCATTCTATACAGGGAAAAAATTGCGCTAAAAAAGAAAAAGACGAATGCAAATACATACAGTAGTTTTGCTGGCCGAAAGCAGTATACGTGATCATGAATCACGCCGTACTCTAGAGGAGTGCGGATTATTGTCGACACTTGTATTTCGCTACCGTGCACTCTAAAAAGTCATATAACAAGTGTTGAAGTGTTTCACATAAAGCGAAATGTTACCGGGTTTTGTAGTCGTGCCATAATGTTTATTAGCTAAATGTCATAACAATATTAAATTAAAAATAGATACATAGGTGGTGGCACGTGGCCGTGGGAACGGGTGGCCAACGTTGGCGTGAAAGATGTTCATTAAAAACAAACAAAAGCTTTATATTAACACGACAGCATTATTTGTAGTGAACCTCAGTTTAGGAAGTGGTACTCAGTGGTGGTGGGTTGGCAAGAGGTAACACCACACCCATTCCCAACTCACTACTGGATGTGGTGCATGGTCGTGTATAAGAAGTGCCGTATGCCGGTAAGCAGCCCATACCCCATTGTTTGGTTTGAATCCAACGTAACGAGGTGGACCAAGCAGTTTGGGAATTCATGGCGAATTCCACTGGCACATCCGGAGCGGCCACTGAAATCCTGGAGCGAGCACTCGGATAGCGAGTGGAACACGTGAAGGGCCCGTGTGAGGTCGCTCCAGAAGTTGTTTACGCATACGTCGCTGAACCGGTACCGGAGACCATTTTCTTTTCTGCTCTTTACGTTTTAAAGACAGCTGTGTCGTCACTGCAAAGCACGCATTTCGACCACGCAGTCACGGAAAGCAGGGCTACTGCTTTCCGATTTCAGGAATGTAAACAAGTACACAAGGTTACTAGACCACCTCAAAAAACGCTGAAGGCAACCTAGCTGCCCGACTGTACCGGAAATCACGGCAACACATTCTCAGAGTTCCAGCGAAAACCGTCTGTGAAAGATAAATCACGCTAAACGCTCCGTCCCGGATTGGTTTTGCCAGGCACGTTGACTACATTAACATGTAATCGACATGCTCATGGTCCTGCGTAACGTCAGCTCTCACGTTAAAGCTATGCCTGTTTTATCGTGCAACCAAGTGCATGGTATGTATATCACAAGCAGTGGTTTTCGATAGATTTGAGCCTCGCTTGACTATAGCTTTCAGAGTCAATTTTTATTTGATTGTAAAAAAAGTGGATAGTGAAATTTCCAACTGGGATTTGCGTTGTCCAAACATGGCTCTTTTATAGAGCCCATTCTCTCACCAAATAGAAGCATTGGCATTGCTCTGTAGAAGAATGCTTGACTGACATACAGGATGTCTGGGTTCGATTCTGTCTTGAGCCGGGATTTTTATTCTTTACTTCCATCCATATTTTAACTCGAAATAGGCCAGGTTTCACTATAGCTCCACAGGCGTGTTTCCGTCACGTATGTGACGTTGCGAAGAGATAAGAAGAGATGACAAAAGAAAAGGTATAAGGAAAAAAACACCAGGCCTGCGTGGAACGCGCAGCACTGTCACAGAGAAAACTTGAAGAGCGGCCTTTCAGGGCCTTTCTTTAATCACTCTTTACTGGAGGTAACTGTCACGCACACTTGCAGGGTACCCATTACGACAATACTCATTGTGTAGTAGACAGGCATTCACTATGCCATCCTCCGTCATTCTTCAGAGAAACGTGGTATCTGCTGCACACTTGGAATGAACTTTGTGCAATTTTTTGTGCTGTACTTGACAACGATTACTTATGGCAGCAGCTTTTGTAACTCCCACGATCCCCCTCCCCCCATTGGGTATGAGCCACAGTTAATATGTGAACAAACTCGAGCTTTTGTAAATGGTTGGAGTATTCGACGACCCTCTTTCTGCGTGATTCGCATTATGTGACATCTCATCCTTTGCTGCTTTAAAACGCTTTATTACTCATATTAACGCAATTCCTTTCCCGACATCAAGCCAGCCAAGGCCAGTTTGCGAAAGAGTTCAAAGCATCGGTGGAGCTCAGTGGTATAATATTGTGTTAGCACGCAGGGGACCCGGGTTTGAATCCAATTGGGTGCTTGGGGTTTTTCTCTTACTATCTTTATTGCGTGCGATAATGATTACGGACACCGGTGGCGGCAGCGGCAGCGCATACATGAACCGTGATGTGATCTTATAACAGCTTTTGTTGTAGAAGTTCCGTCGCGGAGTGTTCAATCTCGGTCTCCACACTCTGCAGCGTACGGCGCGAACTGACTCGGCAACAAAGCCTACTTTCTACAGTTTGTAACGGCGGGTCCTTTATATACACCATTCACCACTGGCACATCTGTGACTTCTACATGTCCTTGTTATGGCTGGCGAGATGGCGCGAAGGGTCCGCAGAGAGAGCTTTAAAGGCTATCGCCCTGCACGTTGCGATGCGCACGTGCATTAACAGGGTGTGGTCACTCGTGCACACACGCTTATCTCGTGATCGCTTTGGTTTCTACGTATTGGCTTTTCACCGCAGATGTACAGTGTCAATTTTTATGAAAGGGAACACGGCGATGCATGGCCTGCGCGCTCCGGCAGCTGCTGGCAGCGTGTTCAAGCGGAAGCGATAGCAACCACAGTCTCCTTTCGCGCCATCTCACGGCGAACAAAACAAGCATTCGTTGCTAATATACAACGGCAAGCTTGTGACCCCTCCCCCTTCAAGGCGATTACGCGATAGCTGGTAATCGCCTTGAAGGGGGAGGGGTTGCAATCTTGCCGCTGGTTCTATATCAGCAACGAATGGTTGTTTTCCTCGCCGCGAGATGACGCGAAAGGCGACTGTGGTTGCTATCGCTTCCGCTTGAACACGCTGCCAGCAGCTGCCGGAGTGCGCAGGCCATGCATCGCCGTGTTCCCTTTCATAGAAATTGACACTGTACGTTGAAGCTAAAGAGAGCACGAAGGCCAATCCGCTCGTTGCAGTGGCCATGCTTGCGAAAGGATCACGCTGCTCACACAGAAGTAACAATTCCGAAAGTTGTTAGTCCACGCTCATCCTATATATACTTGTGCGTTCGCTTCTTGTGTCGTTCTTTTCCTTTGAGCAGAGTGCCTTAAGTGTCGAGCTGGGATAATTGTTAGTTTGCACTCATGTTCTTTTCGTGCACTCTTTTTGCTCAAGGAACGTGCTTCACATTTGAGTGGTTTTCCATTCTTCTCAGGAAGTTTGTTTATTCAGCATTCATTTGTTCAATCTTGAGGCGAAACAATGCACAATAAACGCTCAACTACCTCAACTAACTTTTCTTTCACCGAGATAAGATTTCCTGCAAAGCTATCGCGTTAAAATTTCTCGTGTCTATTTGTGCGGAGCCTGGGTTATTACACACTATGTATCACCCGTGGCACACCCGTACATAACACGCATCGCGTTACGCGAGCTGCGTGCCACGCTTGATTGGTGAAAATGGTTTCATGACGTTCGCGACACGCTGGTTATGTTATTCATATCATAACCTGTGAATCGTATTCACCATACATTGATCTCCTGCTATGCCAGTTTTGGTAGATAACGAGAGCACCTAGAAGTATACGTGATCAGATAGATAGATAGATAGATAGATAGATAGATAGATAGATAGATAGATAGATAGATAGATAGATAGATAGATAGATAGATAGATAGATAGATAGATAGATAGATAGATAGATAGATAGATAGATAGATAGATAGATAGATAGATAGATAGATAGATAGATAGATAGATAGATAGATAGATAGATAGATAGATAGATAGATAGATAGATAGATAGATAGATAGATAGATAGATAGATAGATAGATAGATAGATAGATAGATAGATAGATAGATAGATAGATAGATAGATAGATAGATAGATAGATAGATAGATAGATAGATAGATAGATAGATAGATAGATAGATAGAAATGGTTAAAGTTTTTTTGGTTAACTATGAAATGCTTTGCATTTTGAACAGGAAGAAAGAAATGCAGGAAATCAGGTGATGTTTCTGAAGAATTTCATTCCCATTAGAACGGGTTACTGTGAAACGGAACTTCCCATGATAAAGACCCCGAAACGCGTTCAAACCACCATAAAGCAAGGCACAGCTTTTCGAGAACTACGCAACCATGCAGTGCTCGAAACAAGGTCAAAGGATTTAGCATGTTATGCTCGTACAGAAGGCAGAAAACAAGTGTATGAATGTCATGCTGTGAAGATCAACATTAGAGCAAACAAAGATCACTCGAATGAGATGGGATGACTGTAGCAGCCACATCGTAATTGTGAATGAACAGAGTATCTGGCAAAAGTGGTGTTGTTTCAAATAAAGAAAGCATTATGTAACACACCTATACCTGTATTACTCAGCTCTAAATTTGTTGGCTGAAGAAGGGACACTGTCTAGCAGGTTTCATCTTGGAGCTATTACGGCAACCGAATGCGTTGGCGAACGGTGGAAAGTTCATCATCGCCTTATTGCAATCGGCTGGAGGCTCCGTGCCGGGCTGAGAACATGTGAGAAAACAAATGGTGATGAAAAAGAGTTGCCGCTCGGAGAACCCGATGCGCAGCCGCTGGCCACCTTCACGGGACAGCGCTGTCTCCAGGGCCTTGTACGTGACCTCGAGAGCTGGAATTTCCGGGAAATAGCTGCCGCCTCCGCTTAGACACGCTGCGACGTCCATAACAGCGTGGCGCCAGAGAGGTGAAAGCCAGAGCTCGTCGACGATATCACCTTCCGCGTCAATACGCAAACCCTCGGCGTCTAGAACGCGAACCAATTGGCTTGCATATAAGAAGCCTAAGCCTCCGTAGAACATGGCATGCGTGCCCTGCTTGTAGTACACGGGTGGTGACAAAGTCTGCGTCGAGATGTGAACACTGTTGAGCAAATAATCGTAATCCACGAGCGGCAGTACCAAATTGGCAGGCATGTGCACAACCTCTTCGTATTCCAAAGCTAGTTGGTGGACAGACATACGCACGCGCAACCAAAGTTTGATAATATTTAGATCACTGGTAGGAAATCCTCTGTACATAAAGGATAGCGCAGTACTGCTGAGTAATTCTTCGGAAGGCCAAAGAAGTATTCTGCTCGCATTCAGCTTGCCTTGCGCGCGCCTCTTCCACTGCGGCATCAGCCACTCAATGGCGTCAATCTTGTCCACTGCTGCATTGCGGATATCTGTGAGGCGCGTGTCGATCTCTTGGCGCACCTCCAATGGAAAGTTTGCTATGGTGTTTAGTGATGTCACTAGAAGGCGGTACGCGGATTCGACTTCCCATGAACAGAATGCGAACAGCAGTGCTGCAGTAACTTCTGCGTCATTGTCCGGACTCAGATTACTTTGTCGTGGGAAAAGCGACAAGATCGACACATCCACGACCGGAGCAATCATCTGCACAAACGACCAGGCGATGTTCTCCATAATATCGTCGTGGTGAAAGGCAGATGTTATTTTGTTTAGGGCAGTGAGGAGAACTGGCTGGCTAGCGATAATGTGATCGTCGCCAGTGAAAGCCGGGTAGACATTCATTTTTGCGTTGAGCGTGGCAATCCACCGTTCAGATGGAATCCTGGGAGTACGGCTTTGCAAATCTTTGAGAAGAAACTGTATAGCCGTGTTGTTTCTACTGGCTTCAAGCAATTGCTGCAGCACAGCAATTTGCACTTGCGCAGTTCTATTTCCCTGTTGATGTGTTGGAGTGGGTGCTCCAGATGTTGCAAAGAGCATGTAGTGCTTGCGCCAATACTCGTAGAAGCTACCGGCAGACACTAGTTGCTGACAACGACTCAGCCACTCACGAATGCGCCCAGCTGAACTGACGCGCAAGGCGCGCTGTCCACTGGCGCCCTGTTTTCGAAGAAACTCGACGTGAATCCACACTGCCATGCCCCAGTTGATGTCCAAATCAAGGAGAACCTCCAATGGATCAACATCTTGCTGGGGCTGTCCAGGCCAGCGAATCTTGCGCTCTTCCATAAAGCGTTGAAGTAACTCTACGCTTGATGTCGCATCGTAAGTCGAACTGTACTGGCAGAGGTTGAGCATAGTGAGTGGTTTTTCACCCACTTCGAGGTATTTTTTGCCTTTTCTTAGCACCACCTCAAAGTTCTTAGACCAGGCATCCACGACGTCCTCCCTGGAAGAACGTGACCAGTGATTGTGCGAGCTTAGAGACTTCCATGCCGAACATACGAAGGCACTGAAGTCATCGCAAGGATCGACGCTCCTGTTCAGCAACGTATCAATCAATGCCTCGTAGTCGTCACAGTCGGTACTATTACAGAAGCCGCGGTCAGTGGAGGGGTTGCTACTGTACAGCCACAATAAATATATGAGCACTGCTCCTGCAACGCACGTCATTAGGATGAAGATCACAGCTCTTTTGAGGATTAAACCCCTCTTCGGCGACGTCATGGCAAGAGGTGAAACCATCTAAGTAAAAGAGAGAGAGAGGAAAAGAAAGAACATAAATTTGCATTTGGCAATGCTTCTACCATGCGTGCAGCCGTCAGCATCTTTAACACGAACACTTCGATGCGTGGCCAGGACTAGTTTTATTGATGCCAGCCGCCAAGGGCTGGGCGCTTTTGCCGCGATAATACCTTGGTAGGCTTGAATAGTCTGTCGGCATGTATGGTAAGAATCTTGGCAACAAAACCCAAACGTACATGGTGTCAGCGTCAATCAAACTGCTGCAGGACACGCGGCGGAGCCTTTGTGTTAAAGGTACTGACGGCTCTACATATTAATTCTTAAGTGCTCTCTTAATAGTGCAATATATTTAGTACCTCCGAAAATTATTACACCATTATTTGCCTCCCTCCCTTTCGTGTACGTCGTACATCGAATAGTCGATAGATATTACCTAAGTGACGTCACTTTCATGATCTATTTGACGTTACGATATGTGAGGGAAAGATTGGAAAATCATAAAGTTTACCCAAATGACTGTTATTTGATTTTTAAGTTTATTGTCTCTTAAGTTTGCCGCATTGCCTCAATGGTTACGTTATTGGCATACCGAACACGGAGTCACCGGTTATATTCACGCCTACTAAGTAAACATGTCGCAATCGGGCCTGCATTGCAATACATAAATGTAATGAACCGTGTGTACAAGCTGAAGAGCCCAGCATGTGATCTCGAATGCCCCCAAACAGTGTGGCGTTTTTTGATACGTTAAACTGTATATATCTATGAGTCAGGGCTTCACATAGGTGCGCAGAAGCAAACAGTTACGCATGAATGTTCCATAATATATTCATTGGGGTGAGCGCACTCACCTCAGCAAGAATAAAAATTAGGATTGGGTCACGTTTTCTGGAAAAAATAAGGAAACGTTTGAACCATGATTCTCGAAAATAGGCGTCAGACCTTAGGTATGACTCAGTGCAGGACATAAAAAATTGCCGAAGTCTTAAGGTCCTTCCTGAGCAACATGCAGGCGAAAGCCTTTTTACCTATCCTGCCTTCCACTAAAACATTCAATGGAATTTTTTTCACTTCATAAATCCTTGCTAGAATGTCCTTTTTCTCATGCTTTTTTTTTTGTTCACGTTCTTCCGCTTCTGCCTTTTTTGAAACTTTTTGCTTTTCTCACCTTGTTTCTTTTTGAATGCGAAGCATTTCTTAGCAAACTTCGGTGACTTTGAACATATCTATCTATCTATCTATCTAGCCACTTACGTTTGGGTGATCTCGTGGTCACGCCCTTAACTTGGTGGGAACCAAAATTAGCATTGCGGCGGCTGCATTTGCGATGGAGGTGGAAATGTTGTACAGGCCCGTGTGCTCAAACTTGTGTGCACGTTAACGAACCTCATGTGGTCTAAATTTCTGGAGCACTCTACTACGGCGTCTCTCACAATTGTACGGTGTTTTGGAACGTTAAACCTCACATAACAGTCAATCAAAATTAGCATGGGAGGGCAAGATGGTTTGACGAATATGACGTGCCAGTCAAGACATTAATACTGTCACAATCCCTTCGTATATGTCGACAAACACTTCCCGCCAGACAGTGGCTCATACCCACAGGTGGGTATGTGCTACAGATGATCGACACTTAGTACTACCCATGAACGACAATAACACACATGCGGAATTCTAACGCGTGAGCTTTAAGCAATACCCGACATCGGTAGCGTCGACACAACGAAGGCATATAAATGTCAGAGTCCCACCTGGAATCAAAACCAAGCATTCTGCGTGGCAATGAAGCATTTTACAATAGAGCTACGCCATGTCTCGGCACTACTTTTCAAATAGACGTTAAACTTCGTGAAACGTCAAGGGTGGTTGCAGTGCTGCCTACCAAATGTTATAAACATAACATCTGTACTCCTTTGATACAGCCGTCACGTCGGGTTAACGTCACTTGTAGTTAGCTGACATGCGCAAAAGTTGATTTATGTAACAGTGTGCAGGACCAGCATCTTCGCGAGCATTAGCACTTCATATCAGCTTCTGGCGTTTCTTATACGCATGTTCCAGTTGACATCAATGCGCAAGTGCAAGGAACTGGTTATATAAACATCTGCATCTTTTCAACATACACCTGTGCGTGCAAAATTTGTACATTTATTCAGCATCATTTCATGACGGGTCGTTCAATAAAAAAATTTCAACACGGTCACCTTGCCTCCGCATGCTTCGCATAACGTCGATTCCCAGGTACGTGTGATCTAGCGAGTTTTTTTCTTATTGGAAGAGTCGCGTGGGTGGTAATATGACGTTAGGGCGAAGACCACGAACACCTTTGTTGATGCTGTGGCTTATGATGATGACGTTGGTGGACGCGATGAATTACAGCTCAGTACTTCGTATTGTGTTGGTATCTTTCATCCATGCACTCATTACGATATTCACATGGTACAACATCTGGAGTGATTACGCGCTTATGCCACACAATATTGTATTTGTTAACATGACTCCTTGTCCTGCATGACGAACGGCTGACAGTATCTTTTCCCAAATAAATTTGTAGTAAAGTACTGTATGGCAAAGTACTTCATTGTCACGCAGAATGTCTAGATTTGTTACCAGCTCAAGCCATGATTTTAATCTTTCTAGTCTTTTTCTATTGAGACCACGAGAGTTTTTGTATTGCCCACTATGGCCAGCATCTGATGAGGCGCTTAAGGCTCTCGTTAATGCTATCTGCTGGCCACGAACAGCACTTCAAGTAATGATATCCCAAGCATGCTTAATGCTAACTTGTTGGTCGGCTAGTTGGTGAATATTTGACATGTTCACTTTAGCGTTAAACAGACAAACACACAATAGACTACAAACGAAAAAAATTGGCACATCCCACGTTCCTTGGGAATCGATTTTCTGCGAAGAATGCGGATGCGAGGTGAATTTGTTTCATTTTTCATTTTTTATTGAGCGAGACGTTATTAACTGGCCCTAAATATATGTGTACGAATCTACGCAAACACACAAGTTAAACAGCCACTTATGTTTTCTATTAGCAGTTGTTTACAGCTGCGTAGCGATGCCAACAGCCACATGGATATTAGCAACACCAGAAGCGGTAAGCTTATATGAAGCGCTGGAGTTTGCGCTGGGGATTTCGTTCACTTGACATATCATTCACATGACACATCGCATGAGCTGCGGTGATTTCGTTCACATGACATATCGCAAAACTGGTATGGTAGGACATGAATGCATGGTGAACATAAGTGACAGGCCCTCACTTGGAAACGATGGCATGCGTGTCATGTATAACAACATGACTATATGACAGCCTCATGATGCACTCGTGTTCAATTCGCTAGCTCCACATATACCAAATTTGGTATTACGTTATGTGAATGGATGCGGAAACCATGTGACTGGTGTAAACATAAAAATCCTTGATTGATTGATATGTGGGGTTAAACGTCCCAAAACCACGATATGAATATGAGAGACGCCGTAGTGGAGGGCTCTGGAAATTTCGACCACCTGGGGTTCTTTAACGTGCATCCAAATCTGAGCACACGGGCCTACAACATTTCCGCCTCCATCAGAAATGCAGCCGCCACAGCCGGGATTCGATCCCGCGACCTGCGGGTCAAACATGAAAATCCTGACATGCGTTTTATGTAAGAACATGACTACATGCCCCGCTCATGATGCACTTGCAGTCGTACCGAATTCGGTATTTTAGTCATGGGAACGGACGAACGAAGGCAAATGACACGTCCAAACATAATAATCATTAGATACTTGTCATGTAAAACATGACTACATACTACACTCATAGTGCGCTCGCGGCCATGTCGCTAGCTTCTCATATATAAAATTCGGTATGACGTGAAACGACGAAGATAAATGACACGTTCAAACATAATAATCACAACATGCGTGTCACGTAAGACATGACTACATGCTACGCTCATAGCGCGCTCATGGCCGTTTCGCTAGCTTCACATATGCAAAATTCGGTATTAGGGGACGTCAGTGGACAACGAGCACAAATGCTAGGCGCAAACATGATAATCATGACATGGAAGTTATTGACGCACAAATTACGTCCACATCGTAACGTTGTGCCGATTTTAATGTGACAATTCAACATTCGTCCTTCGTGCTTCGCATATCATTGGTTACCACTACACGTGGAATCTACCAATTTTGGGGGAAATATGTTTCACGACGTACGCGACGAGATTATGGTAATATTCATGTCACGACCAGCGAGTTGTATTCGACAAACCATCATACCCTCCCACACAAAGTTTGGTGTACTTGAAGTTAAGAGGGTGAGATAGATAGATAGATAGATAGATAGATAGATAGATAGATAGATAGATAGATAGATAGATAGATAGATAGATAGATAGATAGATAGATAGATAGATAGATAGATAGATAGATAGATAGATAGATAGATAGATAGATAGATAGATAGATAGATAGATAGATAGATAGATAGATAGATAGATAGATAGATAGATAGATAGATAGATAGATAGATAGATAGATAGATAGATAGATAGATAGATAGATAGATAGATAGATAGATAGATAGATAGATAGATAGATAGATAGATAGATAGATAGATAGATAGATAGATAGATAGATAGATAGATAGATAGATAGATAGATAGATAGATAGATAGATAGATAGATAGATAGATAGATAGATAGATAGATAGATAGATAGATAGATAGATAGATAGATAGATTGCTTGCAGTACGCAAAAAAAATGCTTCGCATTAAAGACTGTTTATCTCGTCTCTCATGGGTCTGCCTTTCTAGCACTACAGCCGGTACATTCAAACTTACACTTTTTTCCTTCATTCAGAGCGAGGGCCTCGTTATGGCAGATTTGATGCCTTCAGGTAGTATTCGAGGCATTATTGG